ATAAGTATTCAATGAAAGCAAAGTTTGAAAAACCTTGCATAAGTCTTTCCTGTGAGAAATCAATGCTGCAGACATGATTCACAGGCATTCATAATCCAGAAATGCGTATTTTCTTTCACCAGCCCACCTTCGGATAGTCTTCTTTTGACCCGAATTCTGATCCACGTTCTATTATCTATAGGTTCCCAACCTGGGAGGTTCTTAAAAGATGTTCTCAATATCAAAACATTTGAGATCAGGCACAGAGGCTTGAGTCTGTAATCCCAGCACTCTGGAAGGCCAAGGCGGGAGGATCACTTGAGCCCAGAAGTTTGAGACCAGTCTGGTCAACATAGTGAAACCCATGTTCTCTGCAATAAGTCAAAATATTAGGCAGGTGTGGCGGCATGCACCTGTAGTCCCAGCTACTCAGGAGGCTAAGGTGAAAGGATTGCCTGAGCCCAGGAGTTTGAGGTTGCAGTGCGCTGTGAACAATCCACTGCACTCCGGCCTGGATGACACTGTGAGACAGACTCAAAAAAAAAAAAGTCAAAACATTTAAAGAAAAATATTTGTCAAGGATCTGAGGAATTCAATAATTCCACTTTCAGAATGTACACAAAGGAAATAAGACCAGCAGTATGTTTAAGAATTTTCACTGCAGTATGACTATTCTAGTGAAAAACTGTAAACAACCTAAAAGTTCCAAAATGAGGGTTTCGTTATAGAAAACGATCACAATATATTCAGATATAAGAAAAAACAGAACACAGCATTATCTGATGATGTTAAACAAGCTACATCCAGTTTATGCTGCCAAAGAGACTGTACTGCTAATAAATCAAGCTTTAGTGATTGATGTGAGCATAGTACAAACAGCCCTACATTTGAATCCCAACTCCACTACTTATTCTGTGAAGTGGGGCAAGTTACCCAACCACATCCAAGTAGTTTTGCAATAACAATTAAGTGAAAGCACCTGATATGAGGGTGGGGGCAACACCTATGTAGAGCTTGACCCCATCAATAGATGTTTCTGTGGCTGTTTCTGTTCCCTAGCTACAAACCCTACTCTGACCCCAAGCTGCCTTGTCACAGAGTATAGAGAGAGACTCATGGCAACTCAGCACATAACCCTCCTCGTGCTGGAAAATCAATCATGATGAGTAAGCAGACTTATCTTTGTATATGAAGGGCAGTATTATTCTTGTTATATGAAGGAGATTATCCCATTATCCACATTCTGGATTACTGCCTGCTCTCAAGAACTGTCCCAATTAGTCTACAACACTAGGACAGAACTGCTTTTTCATGTAGGTCTGTTTTGTAAGATTGTAACATTTTTTAAAAACAAACAAACAAACAAAAAACTGTACATTCCATCAGTCTTCATCCCTGCTCTTTCAATGTATGATCTCAAAGTTTTCTAATGCAGGCCCTAACTGGGGCCATCTCCTACTTATTGCAGCAAGAGAAGAAAGAAATCAGCCCAAATCAGCTAACTGAATTGTTTACCCTTTCCAATGTTTTCTTCTATTATTATGGCTAAATTAGTAACTCTCTGCAAAGCACAAGGATATCTTAAAACAAAGAGAATAATAACAGGGGATTATCTTTATCACTAGGTCAGTCATTTTTACTTGCATGGCTAATCAAAGGTCTAGATTGATTTTATATACAGTATTCATATATACTTCTAAAAACAATTTGGCAGTCTTAAAAGCACAGATACCAAAAATCATTAAGATTCAATTTTATCAGCCGGGCTCGGTGGCTCAGCCTGTAATCCCACGCCTTTGGAAGGCTGAGGTGAGTGGATTGCCTAAGCCTGCAGGTTCGAGACCCACCTGGCCAACTTGGCGAGACCTCATCTCTACAATAATTCAAAAAATTAGCCGGGCATGGTAGCGCATGCCTGTAGTTCCAGCTACTTGGAAGGCTGAGGCGGAAGGATCGCTGGAGCCCAGCAGGTCGAGGCTGTGGTGGCCAAAGCGGCCACTGCACTCCAGTCTGGACGACAGAGTGAGAGACTCCAACTCAAAAAAAAAAAAGATTCAATTTTATCATTAGTTCAACAAACACTGCTGAAAAACAGGGGATAAGAAGAAAAAGGTATAACCCAACTATCAAATGTAAGGGAAAAAGTAAAAGGACAAAATAATCTAGAGCAACAGAGAAAAAAATAATAATCTAGGAAACAACTGAGAGCAATTCTGAGACTATTTGGTATAAAATAATTCATAACATAGTTGAGACTAAGGAAAATTACAAAAATTGAACACAGCTCTGAGCCTTCTGACAGTCAATGTAATAAAAAGAAACAGGATGGCTTACAAAACAAAAATAACCTAATAAAAAGCAGTCATTTCCTTTAAAAAAACAAAAAAAAAGGAAAGGAAAAGGGCTAGCACTGGGGTCTTAGAAAAATTTGTCTCTAAGGTCTGTATTTTATAGGGACTAGTAAATAAAACAGAAAGTGTCTTAGATAGCACTGAAGAAAAGATTTTTCTCATGGCCCCCTTTGTTATATATCAATTCTTGGTGAAAGTCAAGATATGTAATATTAAATCATAGTTCTGTGAAGAAACTTTTATTACAACCACATTATAAAGTAACAATGCAAGTATACTGATTTCAGGTGATGCATTTATTTGTCATTTAGCTTATTCTAGGTTTTTATAAATGTATGTTTTGCTTCCCTTGAGGACTATAAGTTCCTCAAAGCTTATGTTTTCTGCTTCTATTTGAACTTCCTTTGCTATTTAGTAAAGTGCTTTATAGTTTCTGCTCAATTATAACAACTGATAAACTGTCATGCAGTCAATATTTGTATTATTTGTTAGTCTTCCCTGCTACCCTATCAATTCCATGAGAACAGGGTCAGTGTCTTGATTACAACTATATCCGTAGTCTCAGACACAGGATCATTCTGTAAGTATTCACTGAATGAATGAATTAAATAAAGAAACACTATCAAGAAGTATGAAAGGAGAGGAAAAATTATTTTTAAAATGGCAGAGACTTTTGATTCTAAGGTTGGTTCTAACAAGAGCTGGATGACCTTAAGTAAGTAGTTACTTAATGTCTCTGACCTTCAATCCTTTCACATGTGAAAATAGAAAAATTAACATCTATTTCAGAATTACTGTAAGAATTTTTATTTTTCTAAAGTCAGGGTCTCACTCTGTTACCCACAGTGAAGTGCAGTGGCATGAATATGACAATCATAGCTCAAGACAGCCTTGATCTCCCAGGCTCAGGCAATCCTTCCACCTCAGTATCCTAAGGGACTACAGGCGCCTGCCACCACGCCTGGCTAATTTTTTTTTTTTGGTCGACGAGGTTTCACCATGTTGTCCAGGCTGGTCTCAAACTCCCGGACTCAAGCAATCCACCTGCCTCAGCCTCCCAAAATTCTGGAATGGCAGGCATGAGCCACCCCACCCAGCCTAAATGTTTTAACATATGCAAAGCACTTAACACAATACCTGGAAAAGAGCTCAATAAATATTCATTCCTTTACTTTCTGTCATGCCCTCCATCTTAAAATCTCCTATAAGCAAAAAACAGTCCCTTCCAAGAATAAATTCAGTAAAAATACAATAGAACTCATTCTCATTTTTCTTTAAAAAACTAAATTTTCATCTCTTCGATCTTTAAAATGGAGGAGATAGCTTGTGGATTACTTTCAAACTATTACAAATCCAAGAACAAGTTAGGAAAAAAAACAATGTCAAGAATGAGCCTCAGGCCTGTAATCCCAGCATGTTTTGGGAGGCTGAAGCAGGAGAACTGCTTGGGCCAGGAGCTCCAGACAAGCTTGGGCAACATAGCGAGACCCTATTTCTACAAAAAATAACACTAAAACAATAAAAACAGTCGGGCATGGTGGCCCGTGTCTGTAGTCCCTGCTACTCGGGAGGCTGAGATGGGAGGACTGCTTGAGCCCAAAAGGTCGAGGTTACACTGCACTCCAGCCGGGACAGCAGAGCAAGACCCAGTCTCTTTAAAACAAGAAAAAAAAAAGAGCTTTGAAACAACAAGTGGGGGCAAAAATCACACCTACTCACTGACAGCTGTCAGAGGTCTTGAAGAAACCAATTATTTAAGAAAAAAAAAAAAAGATGAAAACGTTAGTAATATTAATAGTACGTTTTAGGGGAAAAAAAATTTAAGAGCTAGGCACCCAGCCACTCAAAAGGCTGAAGTGGAGGATCGCCTGAGCCTAGGAGTTCCAAGTACAGCCCAGGCAACATAGCAAGATCCCATCTCTAAACTCAAAACAAAACAAAGCACTTCGCAATCACTTATTCTGAGTTTAAACCTTAAAATGAAAATACTTTGAGACCATTCATTTAAAAGTGTAACAAGGGGCCAGGCACGGAGGCTCATGCCTGTAATCCCAACAGAGAGGCCGAGGTGTTGAGCCCAGGAGTTGGAAACTAGCCTAGGCAACATAGCGAGACCTCGTCTCTACCCAAAAAAAATCCAAAAATTAGTTGGGCGTGGTGGCGCGCGCCTGTAGTCCTCGCTACTCGGGAGGCTGAGGGGGAAGGATCGCCTGAGCCCAGGAAGTCGAGGCGGCGGTGGGCTGTGATCACCCACTGCACTCCAGCCTGGACAACAGAGCGAGACCCCCACCCCACCACCCAAAAAACCCGTGTAACAGGAAGCAAGCATTCAACCCTGAACACGCCATGCCGACTCTCCTCCCGAGTGGGGCCTCACCTACCCCTCCGCAGTTCCCCTCGCATCCTCGCTTCCACGCGCCGTGTGCAGACCAAGTTCTGTCATTCCTATAATTACCACACCCCCGTCAGCCGCTCCGGGCCGGGTGGTTATGACATCTGCACACTGCAGCCGCGCGTCTTCGCCGCCCGCTCCCCCACCTTCCTCCGAACCTCCGGCCCCGGCCCGGGCCGTAACTTGTCAACGCCCGAGACGGTCCCTTC